CTGGGGAATTCTGGGAGTTGAAGTCCACCGGTCTTAAAGTTGCCAAGGTTGAGGAACCCTGTCCTGGATGGTCCCATTGCTTGAGTGTTGGCTCAACATCAACAAGAGAGAGGATCTTTTTAATGATCTTTTTAATTTAAAGGTTCTTGTCCTTTAAATTCTCAAATAGACCACAGGTGGATTTGAATCTCAAGTCCCCACATTCCATCCTCACAACCTGCCTATGGTGGCTTGCCGTTTAACCATTAAGTCACACTTGAGCTTGGTATCTCTTCTGAACTTTGATAGCAGTCTTCTCCAACCTAGTGTCCTCCAGATGAAGACTGAAACTTAAACTTTACAGTGGCCAATGACCAGCGTGCAACACTGCAACATAAAAAGGAAAGAGATAATATGTTGAGGAACATACAAAAAGACTACCACAGTAGGTACTAAAAGCCAGAATAATAAAATCAAAACGATAAAAATATGTCATAGGCAAGCCAAACCCAAGTAGAGGTAAGATAAAAAAAAGTTCAGAACCAGTATAAAATTGATTGATTGATTGACTATGAGCTATCAAGTCAGTTTCAACTCTTAGCAATCACCTAGATAGATATTTTCCCGGACATACTGCCCCCGATTTGTCTTTCAGGTCTCCCGCTGGTGCAGCCATTGCTGCTGCAAGTGAGTCCATTCATCTTGCTGCTGGTCATCCTCTTTCCCTTTCAACTATAAAATTATCCTATGTAAAATATACTAGACAATACGTAAAGTACCCTCCAGATACGATAGAGCAGTAATTGCTGTTCTAGTCTAAGCAGTGCCATTGCACTCACTGTCATAAAATCATAGAGTTGGAAGGGACCTAAGAGGTCATCACATCCAACCCCCTGGAGACTGCAGGATTCACTACACCATCCCCGATAGATGACAGTCTAGCCTCTTGTTTGAAACCTCTGCTGAAGGGGAAGAAACCCCTCCATGCTGTAACCTGTTCCACCGATTGACAGCTCTTCCTGTCCAGATGTTCTCCCTAACGTCTCGTCTGTATCTACATCCTTCACATTTCATCCCATGAGTTCCAGTCTTGCCCTCTGGAGCAAGTGAGAAGAAGTCCAAGCTCTCTACAATGCGACAGCCCTTCAGATATTTGAAGATAGCTATTGTGTTCCTTTTCAGCCTTCTTTTCTGCAGGCTGTCATCCAACAGAAACAACGTGGTATGAAGGACAGCATCAGAGCACGTTAAAGGTTCTGGATGCCAAGGCTGGCTGGTGTGCTGTTCCACAGGATTGCATTGCAAAGCATGCTGTCCTGATTTAGAAGAGCAGTCACTGTTTGCTCTGGCCTGAGCGATGCCATCACACTCACTGTTGTCCAACAGAAGCGTTATGAGATGTGCCAGTGCTGAATGGAGCATTGTTGAAATTAATGTGCAGGCGACAAAGAAGGCCTTGTAGATAGAGGTCTCCACCCCATGAATGTAAACAGCTCCAGGCAAAGGGGAGATAATGGCATTTTTCCCCTCTCCTCTCCTCCCCTCTCAGCCATTATTGTTTTGTCTTGTATTAGTGTATCGTGCCTTGCTTATATGGGTGAGTGGTTTGGCTGAAAGAGAGCAATATGTTTTCCAGGAACAGAGCAAGTGCCCATTCTAGACATAATGGACAGGATGCCTTTTGCAACAACTTGCTTGCTGCAGTTTTGAGGAACTATATTTCAGCATTCAGAGGTAGTTAAAGTGAGATCCATATTAATCAGTCAGTCAGCTATACGTACTCATAAAGTATGGATTTATTTCTAAAAAGGCCATATTTTATGTAGCATTTTTGGTAGACTTTCTAGGAGAAAAAAATACATGGGGTAAGGATATTGGTGCCATCCATATCCTTGTCTAATATTCCCATCAGGATGAGGCAGCATGGGAAGGAAGGGAGGGAGGGAGGGGAAAGGCTGGCAGGAGTTGAAGTTTAGACATCTGGATTGTAATTGATTGCTTCAGTGTGTCGTAAGATGGAATTATGCATTATATTGGTATTCAGGTCATCTTTGACAGGTGGGAATTAATCTGGACGAATAGCAGCTTCCAGCTAAGTGATCCAACTCTGAGAATTCTTAGCAACAGACATGCTGATTGGGGAACTCCCGGAGTTGAGGTCCTCACATTTGGAAGTTGCCATATTTAGGAAACATTGATCTGGACATATGGCAGAGGTAGAGAGCCATTTATTGGAGGTGCTTCAACTTGGATTCTGCACAGAGCAGGAAACTGAACTTGATAGCCTAAATAACCCCTTCCAATTTTAGAATAGTAACTTTCCTTTGTGCTCTAAAATTAAGAAAATGTTTATACATGAAGGAGTACTTGGCTTATAAAACTCCAGTTATGTTTATCCTCAAACACGTTGAAAGTATTTAAAAGGCACCTACTTTCATAGGATCGTGTGGATTACCAAAGACATTCTTTGAAATGGGGGAAAATATACATTGAAAAAGTAACAAGCATTAACCTTCCTTGAGATCTTCCTTGATTTTTTTAAAATTGACTTTTATCCCCCACCGCACCCCCAAAGTGATTTGTTATCATTTTGTCTATATGCTGCATATGTGTCTAGTATTTATTTACTTATTAATTTATTAAACATACACTGGCTTAGAACTGCAATATCAAATATGCAGAATAAATCTGGATTCCCTTCAAAATGTTTGACCGCATGAATTGGGAAATCAGTGCCCTCAGATTTACTTTTAAATATTTGTATTCTTAATGGAAGCATCATAGAAATTAGAATCTCTCTCCCTCACCCCCACCCCCATCCATTTTCAGTTAACTTTTTACTGCTGGTCCTCTTGAGTTACAAGTGCTGACATTTTTGACTGGTCACGCTGACAAGGTACACTTTGGGGTGATCAGAACCTTGCTCCATCACACTGTCCTATACCCATGTGTTCAGCAATCAATTTCATTGACATGAGTGGGCTAAAGACTGAGAGAGGAAGATCTAAAGTTTGAAAGAGGAAGATCAAGGATTACAGTTTCCCTCTCCAAGTTTGGCCATGGACCTCAAAGAGTGTCTCAGTTGCTTACAGCTATGACCTTTTCTAAAGAACATTGCACAGAGACCCCTAAAACCCAGTGGGAACAGTCCCCGGAGCATGTTACAGCATGCCTGCCAGCGGGCAATGAAGTAATTATTGGAGGAAAAGACAGGAGAATGGAAAAATGAACCCTTGCTGATGTGTCTCTTTGCTTTCAAGCAGATTTCTACATAATACTTCTGGTGTTTTTATTTTGATGTTAGGCACCCATAAGTGACTGACCTATGAGATGGCAGAGAATGGAAGAAGTTGTGACTTGAGGCGCATCGCGATGAGCAAAGAACACCACAATGGAAGCTTTCTAGGCATGGCAGGTAGGTAAAGATCATTCCTGTATAATTAAACAAGTACAATCTATTTACTCATAAAATGTGCTAGATCGTGTTTCCCCATCCTGATGCTCTCTGCATATGTTGGATTACAACTTGCATATTGGCCCAGCCAGCTTAACCAAAAATACTGGTTCAGAATAATGGGAGTTGTAGTCCACATCGCAGAGGGCTATACTTGGTACTGCACAAACTGAAATCAGGCCTGGGAAAGGCTTTTACCAGATATATTTCCTTTGAAGTTGATTATTATTCACAGGTAGTCCTTAGATTACGGCCATTCATTTAGTAACCATTCGAAGTTATGACGACGCTGAACGAATGGTAGATACGACTGGTCATTGAAGTGTAGGTTTCCAGGTGAGGTTCCTATAGCGGACTAGACATCTCTGAAGGAGTGGAGACAGCGCCGCAGTAGTGAACAGCAGCCAGTGGGGTTTTCTGGCCAGCAAAGTCTTTCCGGATAAAGGAGAGACTGAGAGATCACCCCAGACAACTGCTCCTCGTGAGGAGACCATGGGATGGAGGTCTTGCAGTCTTCTCAGGAGTAGAGCAGCTGGGGAATGAGGGAGAAACAGTGTGCTCACACCCACAGCGCAGCCTCTTAAGGACACTAAGTTCAACCAAACCCTCACTTTCTTAATCACCTTTAGATACAATCAATTTACAATTGAAAAGAGGTCTTTGAAACAGCGGGATAAAAGAAACAACCACTCTGTGAGTTAGCCTTCCTTCCAAATTACAGAAAGTAAAGAAGAGAGGAAAATAATACCTTTAAAAGACTTTAAAATAACAGCAAAGAAAGTTACAAACAGATAAAGGGGATTGTATACTTTTGAAAGATTAACATTTTGGTGAAAGTGCTTTTGGCATTATTTGGAATTAAATAAATAGACCAGACCTTCATGGAAATGTTAATTGTCTGACATTAAAGGGAAAAGACAATTGGTGGATTTTACAAAACAAGGAGATAAGTGTAATACGAGATGGACTGTGTCATTAAAACTATGGAAAGACAGATTGGACTAAAGTCTTAAGGGTATAGAAAAGGTGAAAGAGGAAAAAAAAAAGGAGAAGCCTGCCTTTTACGTTCACCTTTGCAATTGACTTCTTATCACTTTTGGATTATAAATAAAAGAATGGCAACAACTAAAAAAGCAGCAAGGCTTGGTGAGGGGAGGAGAGGATCATTGGAACAACCTGCAGAAAACCCCAGAAATATTACAAAAAATGTTTGAAGAGATGGGAAAGCAAGTATCTGAAGCTGTCAAACCAGTTAAAAGTGATCTGGTTGCTGGTTTTTCAGACTTGTCTTCGGAATTATCAAATAACATTATATAGCACTTAGCTTACACTGAGGTGGAGAGCATAGGAAGTTGCCGTATACCGTTTGGCTGGCATGTAACATGTCAGAAGGGCAAATATTTTCCACGTCTCTCCCACCTTCTGCTACTTGCTTCTTTTAACTTGACATGCTAGGGAGTGAAATAGAGAGCAACGAACACAAATCTGCCATTGAGCTGAAGGTTCCTCTCAGGACAATAATGGAACAAAATTCAAATCAAGCATTTTAAACCTGTTTAAAAATGAATTTTAAAGAGGAATAGGAAAGAGACAGAAATAGGAAGATACCACATGGTGAAAATGTCAAATTTAGTACCAGAAAGAGCTATATCCCACAGCCTTCCCAGTTGGTCAGCAAGCATTGTGAACTTATTTAATTTTTCAGAATGTCTTTTTGTTATCTGTTAATGGAGATATTCAAGGCCCAGCTACACCATGATGAATGTAGAGGTTAATGGTCTGGGAAACATTTGGGGGATGAAGGTCTTCTGATCTTCCAGGGCAGTGCTGGAAGCTATTGGTGATGTGGTGATGACCCTAGAAGAAGTGGGGCTGGATTTTTTTTTTCAGCTCCTTCACATTGTTGTTAAGTAGACGTAGTCCTGGGGTTACATCCATTCATTCAGCAACCGTTCAAAGTTATGATGGCATTGAACGAATGGTACTTAGGACAGGTCCTCGTAGTTCTGGCCATCACAGCATCCTCACAGACGCATGATCACAATCTGGGTGCTTGGCATGCAGCTCGTGATTACAATGTTGCATCGAGCTGCAGTCACATGATTGCGATGTCCAACGTTCTGATGTTCCCTGATGGCTTCCCACAAGCAAAGTAAATGGGGAAGCCAGTAGGAAGTCAGAAGTTGCGGTCACGTGAGGTCCTCGCTTAATGACCCACATAGTTCTTGTTTAATGATGGCAACTGGAATTGCCATTGCTAAGTGACATAGTCACGTGACATCACGCTTTATGACCGTGTTGCTTGGCGATGGTAATTCTGGTCCCAATTGGTGTCCTAAGCCAAGGACTACCTGTATAAGGCTTGGAATGGAATGAGAGGCCTTAGGGTAGGATAAATCTTCAAAGGGAGAGTAGCATATAAGCCAGAGTAATTAACTGATTAATTAATAAATGGGCTCTAAGTGTGGGGAAGGGAGCAGGTTGCCCTCCAGAAGCCCCTTGTTCCCACCTGTAATGGATGGCATGAGCGGGGAAGATTCTGGAATGGAAGCAAGGTTGTCAGGAGGGGGGAAAGGCATTCCAGAGCAAGCACCTCCTCAGCCCGCAACAAGAATGTGGGAAGATGAAGAGGATGAGGCTAGCCCCTCCCTAGAGTCTCATGGGGTATATCCACTAGTTGCTTTAGCATAGGTTTAGTCTGGCGAGATTCTGCCTATTAGGTGCAAGCTAGTAAAGGAACTGGATTGCCTCGTTGCTGTTCCTGGGCTGAACCTGACACCACCCTTATCTTTGTCCAGCCATATGGATAGTAACACATCTAAGTGCCAATCCCAAGCCCGGATAAATGGGGAGGGTTAATCCATTTCCAAGAATCATAAAATGAAGCATGAAGCTTCACAAGCCATGGGAAAAAATGTTTGCCCAATAATGGTGTTGCATCCTGGGTTTCAGCTCATATACTGGCTTCAGTGGATAATCAAGGCTAGGGCACCAATAAAAAGTTAACTATTGGTCATGATCAGCAACGGAAAATCCTCAATTTGGTTATGGGAAGTCAGCAGGAAGTTGCCTCACCTAACGACTATGGGATTCAGTTAACGACAGCAACCGGGACTGCAGGGTTAGTAAGTTGTAAGTTGAGAACTACCTGTACATGGGACCAAGTCAGCTAGAAATCTCAAAACTGGAAACCTTCCAAATGTACTTTCTCCAAAGGATCTTTAGTGTCCCATTGATGGATTGAAGAAGAAATTAAACCATCCATCAGCAATGCTGCCGCCAGCCAACAGGAGCCAATGAAATCCAAAAACTACAACTGAGATGGTTTGGGCACATTTGCAGAATGGATCCAATTTGCTATCCATACAAATTGCTCTGGAGAACACAACCCCATGGATGGAAAGAGCCCCAGGGAAAACCTGGATAAGGCAAACTGAAACTGATCTAGCTCATTGTAGGCTGTTTTTGAACCAAGCTTTAATCACAGCAATGGACAAAGCACATTGGCCAGGCTTTATGTCAAAGGCCCATGGGCCTGTAGCCCCCACAGCAGTATACTGGTTGTGAAACTATCCTCTGCCAATTGTGCATCAGGAAGATCAGGTTCACCTTCCAAAAGGTGCCTTTGAACTTTGGTCATCCACCCTTTATGATCTCCCCTTTTAGTCTGTGGCAGATTTTGGCCACAGACTTTCAACCCCTGTCTCTACTGCCATAAGAATTCAGCATATGAATGGAGCACCTTCTGGATGTTGAGTTCTGTAGCACCAACCGGCTGTCGTGCTTGGATTGCAGAAGGTCACCCTGAGCTGCATAAGCAGCTTTGTGGTTTCTCCCTCAGCACCCCTTCTTTCTTCCCCCACCATTTTCCCAACAGTATATTAAAAGGCTTAGGGACAAACTGTGCCTCATTGTGTTTGTGTTGGTGACGCATCCATGAAATCAAGGAGTTAAGCTCAGCTTAAAGGAGTTGCCAACTTTTTTTTCCTGTGTGTTAAAGTTTATTTATCTAGTTGTGAGGAAAGGGATTCTGATGGATCCATAGCACAGGATGGAAGGGCTAACACCTCTTCCATCTGCAGTATAGCCACAATTTGGGATACATCTTCTGTCTGCATCTAACCATCATAAAACCCTACTTGCAATTTTATATGTTTTAAATCAGTGAAATACTGTATAGCAAAATGGGAAAAAGTAATGCAACAGGGATTGTGCCATAAAAATGCCCTTTTTTATTGTACCATCATAGAGTTGGAAGGATCTCAGAAGTCATTCCATCTGACCCCCAATGTTGGTTAGCAAGCACTGGTTTTGTTGGGATTTATGGCAGGAGGGAGAATAATGCACACCCCTTTGAGTTTCTGAATAAAAGGCAGGATATAAAGCTAATGAATGAAATAAACATGGAGGGGGAAATCCTCCCCCCCCCTCCACCAATCAAGTTGGGAGCGTAATCCAAAGGACAGGGTAAGGTTCAGCATCTCCATTTCTGTTCATTCTTGTGTGTGATGAAAACAGACTCAAAGCAGTAGAGAACCTACATTTCCATTTTGGGGTGGTCTCATGCTTTCCATTCTGCATCTGGAGGCCAGGAGTTAACTAGGGACTAACTGCTCCACCCCGGGTCTCAGTCCAAATGACATACACCTTGGGTAAAGTAAGAGCACCAACGTGGATACACACTGTGGTTGAAGTGCTGTGTGTTCACCAGCTATGACCCCTTATCTAGATTCAGATGTCACTGCTACCTTAACCGCCATGTGAAGCAGGTTACAGTTTGGCTTTTGCTCCTCCCTTGGAGCTGCTGGCCTTCCAAGGGAAGGGCTGGCCAGCCAACTAAAATCGGCTGGGTGAGCATTGAAGCTTCCCATCCATAGGAAGCTACTTTGTATTAGAGGTCCAGCCCCAGAAAGAGAATTGTGGGTTGAATGTGGCGGTTTCCCATAATGCTTCTCTTTTCTCTCCTTCCTGTTTGCAGAGTCCTCTTTGTCCAGTGAACAAAGGCGGAAAGAGCAAGAAGCACGTCAGAGTATCGTCCTCTGGGGAAAACCAGTTGTTACCTTGCAGTATTTTTTCCTGGAAACATTAATAAATGCAAAAGAATGGACCATAAAGTAAGTCCAGGAGAGAAGACAGCCTCTCCCAAAGGGTGGGCGAGGGCACAACACAGGTTTGGTGAAAGGCATAAGCTATCCCCTGTGTCTGTCCTTCCTTCTTCTGGCCCTCCAACTCCCTCCGATCATCCAATTCCAAGTTTTCTGTGCCTTGATTAGTTCAAGTGGTGGGATAAATTTTCTCCCTTTCCCATAAAACAAGGAGCACCCTGAAAAACTGGTTAAAGGAAGTGACCTTTCATACTCTATAGCAGTATTTCTCAATCTGGGCAACTTTAAGATGGGCAGACTTCGACTCCCAGAATTCCCCAGCCAGCACTGGCTGGGGAATTCTGGGAATTGAAGTCCACCCATCTTAAAGTGGTCAAGGTTGAGAAACACTGCTCTGTAGAATCGATCTGAAGGATTCCTCAGTTACCAACTGATAATGATAAAAACTTTAAAAACAGATCTGGGCAAGTTCTCTGAGGAGGTGAGAACTCTTAGTTAATCTTCATCCTAGTGGTCATTTGGTAGAACTTGAGTGATCAGAATTGGAATTCAAAAAATGGCCTTTTGCCAACTCATATCTAATCCATCACCTGTTACTAACACTTTAGTGTAGAAATGGAGGGACTTGGGGCCTTCTGAACTGAAAATACATCTGGTTGGTCATTGTTAGGTAGAAGATACTATACTGGTTGAGATAGATCTTACTTCCAATCCATAGTTGGAGCTCTTAGATCCATTATTTGATCTTATGAATGTAATTTTTTTACAATAGTGGTGTGATAGACTTTTTTTTTTTTGGCAGACTTTTCTTGCTTTAAATCAGGTTGGATTCTAGTTTTTTGATGTTCTCACTAACCTGGAGAACGTCAGATTGGGAAGAATGCTCTAGATAATTTTGTAGGTCATGTCTTTTCATCTTTTTATTAAGCAGAATTTAGGGTCTACAGAAACAGAAACTAGGGTGGTAAACTATGATACTGAAGCAGTTTAAGGCTTTTCTGACTCACTGTCTCCTGTCTACTTGAACTTGAAGCAGTATAGGATTGCACTTAGCTGTTTTTCACTGATTAGGCAATCTCTGTGGTGTTTCCTATTTGATCCAGTAACAGTTTTTAAAGATAAATGCATTCTGGACCTTGACCCCAAGCACATTAATCCTCTCATAAATCTAAAACAATATCTCCTATAAATATATAATCTGTGGTTCCTTACCTATCCTTGGTGCAGAGAATTACTATTTTCTTCATGTCTTAGTTATTCTCTTCCCCACCCTGCCTCTGACTGTTCAGCTAGGTGGGGGGATCAGATGTTTCTCCCTGTAGCATTTATAGGTGGAGCAGTTTTTATTCTTTATTGGGCAAAGATCAAGATTATGTGGAACTTGCGTTCTGACAGCTAAGAGAGGACTTTGCCCCTCACTTTGGTAAACAATTACTGACTCTTAATCCTTGTAGTCTTTGAATGAATAAGGTTTAAATGTTTGGTAGATCCAAAGAATAACGCAAAGGCAGAAGGCTTCTGAAACTGCCACACTGGATCAAGTTCAATAGTCTGCCCCCTCCTCATCGCCTCCTTTATTCTTCTGGATGTAGGATCTTCCTCTGAATACATCAATGATCCATTTGTTTGTGTAATGAAGTTCATTTATTACATAATAATACATTACATGATACATCAGTCATCATTTACACTGTCAGTCCTTGCCCTACCTCTGTGACATTGAATTCCACAGGTGAAAGTCCTTTGCACCTTATTCCTTTGTGAATGGTGACCCTGGAGCATGTGCACAGCATATGTGGCACAGGGAATGGGAAAGTAATACCCATGGACCAGATCTTGTACCTGGTCAGCTTGTAATCTGGGAGCTTGCATAATGTAGTGCTTCTCCACTAAGAAAGCTAGTTATCAGGGTTGACTCATTCTAACCTGACTTTCTCCCTAGTTTGCCCTTGTTAGCTGAAGATGGAGAAGCTGAAGTCCAGCATGGGTTGAAGGTACAAGATTGAGCAAATCTGGAGTAGAATAACATGGAAGGAGGGAAGCACTCATGAGTATGAGTATGAAGCTCAGAGTAGAGTTTGGGGTTTTGACAACGTTGTAGTCCTTTTCCAGATCTGGAATTCTAGCAGTAGTTTTTCTTCCCTTTCCTCAGATTGTGGCATCGCCGAAGGATACTGGTATCTCTTTTACTACTGCTTGCCGTTCTTACATCTACGTATTATATCGAGGGAGCACATCAACAGGTAACTGCATGTGCAAAGTTAATCCAGTGTTTTCCTGAATTTTCAAAGGGCCTACACACATTCTCTCAGTATGTTTTCTTTTTATCCAAGCTGTAATTAGCACGTTGCTATCAAGCCAGCCAAGAGATTCAAAGGTTCTCCTGAACATTTTTTATCCTCGCAGCAACCCTATAGGTGGAATTGCCCTATAAGGCCACTCTTGGAAAGTAGAGATATACTGTACCTGGATTTCCCAGGTCCTAGTCCAACATTTTAACCATTGACCCACACTACCTCTTAACTTTTAGTCAGCCACTAGTCTTCATATGCTTAGTAGGTTGCTGCTAACAAGTGCATTTTTTTAGGAAGCAAAAGCTAACTATATTTATCAGCTTTTCCTGAAGTCCAGGGAACAATCTAGCATCTGTCCTACTTACTTTGGAGACTCTTGAATTGCAATGAGGCCTCTTATTGTTTTCTTAAGCTTCTAAGTCTTATTTGGGATGAGGGGGATAAGCTTTCTCGTATCTGGCTCTAAGCTGGCAAAGAAGTAGGTTGTTCTGCAAGCAGGACTGGTATGAGAAAGGCACATCCAAGCTGAGCTTGAAGTTAAAATAATTCACCTGCCTGCCCCCCCTTTGGAAACTATAGGGGCAGACATAAGTGAAGTGGCTGACCAAAACTTTGTGGATCTCTGCCAATGGGTTGCTGTTATTATTGCTACTATTTTAAAATATTCATTTGTACCCTGCTTTCCATCTAGTTGCTCAAGGTATTATACATTTTGGTCTCTCCTTGTTTTACTAGTGCCCTTAATAATAGAAGTATTGCCTGCATATTGCTTAACTATTGCAAAGATACTGAAAATCCAGTTAAAGATTAAAATTGGATATAGTGTACATACAAAAGATCATTTGTTCTTTTTCCTTATCAGCTTTTGCCTGTACTGCATGCACTATACATGAGCAATGTTTGGCCAGCTTCACGTGCCTGGAGCAAAGAAATCAAACCATTTTTCTTAGCATCTGTTTAAGGTTGACCAGTGTCTCCTGACCCTTTTCCATCTTTGCCCCATTCACAAACTGGCTTCTGCATGCAGACAGGACTGGCTGATAGCTAGAGCTCTCAGGGCTACCATTCTGTGTCCTAAACCCAAATTCTGCCCCAGCTGCATGATGGTAGGATGTGTCTCCTTCAAGCGGCCCCTTGATAACTATGATACCTGGAGGCACCCAATGAACTAATTTTTCTTATTCTTTTGTTTCCTCCTTCCTCAGTACGTGCAGTATATGGAGAAAAAGTTTTTATGGTGTGCCTACTGGGCGGGGTTAGGCATCTTGTCCTCAGTGGGACTTGGAACAGGTCTTCACACCTTTCTGCTCTACTTGGTAAGCAAGTCTTTCTGTAATAAGTCTAACTTTTTCGTGGGTTGGGATTTTTCACTGAAGTCATGCTAATTTGGGGAAATTAGGCAAAGTAAGCACATTTGCACGATCTGTCTCATTGTGGTTGGCAAGTAGATGTTGGTGTTTGGATTTAACTTTGACCAAAATAGTACTGAACTAATTACAGAAGTTAAGTGTCTAGTGATAAATGTTTAGAGTTAGGTTAGGGGTCAGGCTATACAATGTATTTCTTAAGAGGATGCTACCAGGTATCCTATGACTGGGTTTTCCTTAACCATGGCTTGTTGAATAAGCTGCAGTCAGCTGGACTCATACCTTAAGCTAAACTGTGAACAATGGGTTATAACCCACAATGGCTGGCTTCACACAGTATTATCAGCCACATTATAGCTTAGCATGATGTTTGAATCCTAGCAGCTTCTTTTCCTCCATGATACTCAAAGAACTGGACTCTTGTCTACCCACAAATATCCCCTAGGGTATCATTCATTCTCAAGCATGAACTTTCAGGTGGTCATGAAAACTATTCACAGTAGCTACCCAAATCCCCAGGTGGTATCTACCTCCACCATCCTTCATGATCACTGATTATAGCAGAGACCCTTCCACCCCACACATACCCCTATGCTAGGAGCAGCAGATCAGGTGCAGAACTTCCAAAACCCAATGGAGTTCTGGGCCCCACACTTTCAGGGCTCCAAGCAATTGGAACAGGTCAGAAAAGGACATTGAGGATAATCAGAGGAAACTCCTATGAAGAGAGATTGAAAGAGCTGGGAATGGTTCACCCTAGGAAGAGAAAACTAAAGGAGGATATGAGAGCGCTCTTCAAATAAATGAAAGGATGTCAAGAACTTGTTCTCTGTCATTCTGAAGCACTTTGCCTGGAAAGAGGGGTTTAAATTGCAGATTCCAGTGGAAGTCTAGAATAATCTTCCTAACAGTAAGAGCAGCCGCATGGTGGAACCAGTGGCCCAGAAGGTGGTGGAGGTTCCCGTTATTAGATGCAGTGGGAGGACAGGCAGCAGTCTGCAATGTTTTAATTTGGATTCCTCCCCTGAACATGGCCACAAAAGCTGCTTTCAACTCTTGGATTCTATAGGTCTTACTCCTTTCCCACCTGCCTGCCAGGTTGTGCTGCTTATTTTAATGAAATTATTTAAATTTAAATTAAAATTAAATTCTTTAAGGCCAGGTTGAAGTAAAACTAGGTCAAGCAGCAAGATTTTCTGCCATTAAAAAGTATAAAAAAACATCCTACTACAGTTTGTTCATCTTATGATGGGCTGTAAGACCAAAGAGCCCAGGAGGCCAAACAAGAGGAAGTTGGTTTGAGCCTTCCAGCTCTGATACCGAGAACCGATTCCCAGGCTGAGTCTATGCCCAGAAGCACCTGCTCCCGTGATTCTGTTCCACCTTCCTGAAATGTCGTTTTGCACCCTCGTGTTCTAGGGTAAAATAAGTCACAGTGGCTTGGTTCTTGCCATGCACTCAGCCGAAAGCATGCAGATGACTTTACAGCTTGGTGCAGGGTGGGAGCCAGACCACAGAGTTGGCTTCCTCCTTTTTCACTTCGGTTATCTGCAAAATTGTTTTTCTTCTTTGGAATTGAAAGTTGTGGTTGCTTTTGGAATATCGCCACTTGCTCCCAGAAGCGTAACAATTAAAAATAGATGAAACTTAATAGGTAACACATCATTCTTCAGTTATGCAGAATGGGCTGAAAGATAAAATAAGTATTGCTGTCAAGTCAGGTAAGCTTGCTCTTTCAGGAAAATGTATTCCTTGCCTATTAACTGCCTCCCTCGGTATTAATTTCCTTTTTTTTTTTTTTTTAGCTTTCTGTATTTTCATTTTTGCCTCTCTTGTTTTTCTTCCAACTGCTGCCCTTATGGCGATCACAGAAGTTTGGTTTGATTTGAAGTGCTTCCATGCTTTAATTCTGCATGGAAGGATGTTGCTGCGATCCACCACTGGGTGTTGTGATGTTGCTGCGACAGGACGTGGAAGGATCGTTTTACGGTTCCCCAAGATGAGTTTGAAATGCACAGCTTAGCTTTCTAACAAATCGTTGTTCTTAGTTTTGTTTTTAATGGACACTAGATGGAGCAGTTGTCTCGTTCAGGGATGGCCAGCCTCTCTTCTGAGACTTTTGGTTCAGGCACGGAGAACTGATCGCCTCTGAACTTTATTGCGCAAATGCTCTTTGGCCTTGAAAAACTTGGGCCACCTTCTGTAGGCTTATGTTCCTGTTACGAAGGCAAAGCTGCAGTTCCAGTGAAGATGCAGGTCTAACGGTTCAGAAACCAAACCGAAGCTAGAAATGAAACAAGACCGGTGGCTTTCTCACTAGAATGGTGGAAAACCCCTATCTCTGTATGGTGGTAGCTGCAATGTGGTTGAGTCAAATCTCACTTGACAGCATTTATGATCTTCACGGCCCCGCTGAAGGAAATCTTCCCAGAGCGATGGCTGCCATCTGTTTTGCTTCGCTGTGTGGCTCCCTGCCTCTTCCAAAAATTATTCAGGGGAGGGTCTACTGATATAATTTATTGGGCGAAAAAGCCTGACGGTTTTACACTTTTCCTCAAGATGGGTCTTCTGAGGGATTTTTTTCTCCCCGTTTATTTCTTTGTGATATGCAGCTGTACCCGGGTGTAGGAGATCGGTTCCATCCTTGGGTGAATGCACAGTTGATGCAACCATGGAGTTTCTTTGCAGTGCCAGCCAGCTTCAAAACCCTTCAGGCTGGCATGTTTTGGGGGTGGGAGCAAGGTCACAGAATAGGAAAAATGCCCCATAGCAAATTCACTCTGGAACGTTAAAATGTGCGTGACTGCTATGCCAGAAAAACCTTGAGGTGGTGCCAAACTGACGTTGTGTTTTCTGAAATTCTGTTACCTCAGGCTTTTGCGCTAAACAAGTGCGGAGGCACCTTCCTTTAATTGCAGAGGGAAATAGAACAACCTACCTGGGCCCTGTTTTGTCTTCTATATTAAATGAGACTATGGCTGTATGCATCCATAATTCATAAGCTACCTACTAAATAGCTCCCCCTGAGTGGGGCTGTTTGTGTTTTTAAAAATTAACTCGGGATAACCACAGTTGGGGGCACATACAAAGGGTTTTTCTCTTTCTTTTTTCTTTTGGAATAACGGGCTTAAAGCATACACCCGTTTCTTTGTGAAATTGGAATACGTAGATGCTTGTCTTTGCCTTCTGAAGACTTAAGTAATGAGCTGGAGAATTATGTAGATCAATTGAAGTAAGTTTTGGGCTCCGAGAGGTGAGGGGCCAGGGCATCCTTGGCTAAAAGAGGTATTTGCAGCTTCTAGGACAGCACGACAAAGAAAATTAAATTTCATTCAGGGGTTTGTTTAGTTCCAAATTTAATCTTAACGACTCTAATAAAATGAAATGAATCTGATTCAGATACTTATAATCAGGTTTTTTTTCTCCGTCTGTCTGTCTGTCTGTCTGACTTTATTTATTTATTTATTTATTTATTTATTTAGAATTTGGACACCACCCATCTCACAAGGAAGTGACTCTGGGTGGTTTACAATAAACAACTTAGAGTTTGTACAGTATGCTGGTTGCAATTCTATATTACTGATTTCTTTTTTCTTGTAAGTGAGCTTTTCTTGGGGAGTTGCCCTAGATATATCAAGCTTTGGACTTTTCTTTCTACCAGATGTCCCATGTGGTGCTAAAGCTTACCATTTTCCTGCTTCGAAATTCAAAGTGATTTGCAGATGACCATCTTCTGTCTCTCAGTCATGATAGAGTCTGTTCCCAAAGTGCTGTCCAGATGCCAGCATGCCTGTGGACACCTCCCTTGGTGCCCCCCAGATCCCCTGCCTCCTCTTCTCTTTAGAATTTTATAGGATTAATTTGATTTCAGACAGCATTGAAGCAAAACACCATTCTCCAAGAATGACTTAGGATTCCACGTAGGCTCAGTAAGCTTCTAAGAAAATAAAAATGGGCTAAGCATTGCAGAGCCCAGTGCTTTGCTAGTAGATGTGTCCACCTGCCCCCCCCCCCCAAAAAAATGAAAGATCAACTGGGGACTGATAATGAGAGCTCTAAGAGGTGAAAGAGGGTGGCAAGGAGCAATCTCACCAATTTGCTTTTTGCATTGTAGGTGGCTGGTGATTGGCCACACTCATTGGGCAGCCATTGGGGAATAAGCTATCATTTCCATGGCAGCCACTTTCTTTGAGTGCCTGTAGTATGCCATCAAAATGTTTGGGGAATTCCTGAGGTCTAGGGTTGATATGGAAATAATAACCTAGAAGGGTAGCAGACCTGCTCTCACTAGAGGACTTCCAAATTGAGTTGGGGCCAGCCATATTATAGGGATTCTCCAAGTCTAGATTTTCTGGGCCAGCTGGCAGTTGGACTAGTTAGCCTTTCAGGATTCCACAGATATTATTACCATCCATATTAGAAGAATACTACCACTTCTTCATCTCCTCCTCCTGCTCCTGCTCCTCCTCCTCCTCCTCCTCCTCCTCTTCATCATCATCATCATCATATCCCCAGCTTTTTTTCTGAACAATAGAACAATAAAAACACTACAGGTAGTCCTCGCTTACCGACCACTCATTCAGCCACCATTCAAAGTTATGACAGCACTGAAAAAGGGGACTTACGAGTCCTTGAAATTGTGGCCATTGCAGTGTCCCCACAGTCACATGATCATGATTTAGGTGCTTGGCAACTGGCATGCATTTACGATGGTCACAGCATCCTATGGTCACGTGATCACCATTTGTGACCTTCATTGACAGCTTCCAACAAGCAAAGTCAGTGGGGAAGCCAGCAAGAAGTTGGAAGTCGTGGTCACATGACATTGCACTTAACGACTGCAGGTGATTCGCTTAATGACCACAATCAGAACTGATGCCGTAAGTCAGTGTGGTCACGTGACATTTCACTTTACGACCATATCACTTAGTGGTGGAGTTGCTGGTCCC